TGGTGTTGGTGTTGGTGTTGGTGTTGGTGTTCGTCGTCGTCGTCGTCGTCGTCGTCGTTGTTGTTGTACTACTACTACTATTATATTATTGCTTTATTTGTTTTGGCTGCTTCAGTGTTCCAACTCCCGTCCTCACTGCCATTACTTCCCTTCTCCCATCACCCCTCCTCCCCTTCCTCCCTCCCTTTCCCCAGGTCTCACACGTGTGTTCTACGGCTGTGTCCAACGACCGCTTTGGCGGCTTGTGGGTCCGTGCTATCAGTACACGCCATAGGATGCCGCCCTGCCCGCCCTTGTACGCTACAGTACAACCCCTGGTCCCCTGCCACCTTTTGCAGTACCAGATTTCGGCCCTGCTTGTTCCCTTCCTCCACAACCCACCCCACCCCCCTTTCCACTTTTTCCTTCTCCACGCCACATCATGCAACTACCTGCATGCATGTGTTTTTCAGCTTGCCTTCCTCCTTTCTTCCTCTCCCGCCCTTCCTCTCCCGCCCTTCCTCTCCCACCCTTTCTCTCCCGCCCTTCCTCTCCCGCCCTTCCTCTCCCGCCCTTCCTCTCCCGCCCTTCCTCTCCCGCCCTTCCTCTCCCGCCCTTCCCCTCCCGCCCTTCTCTCCCGCCCTTCCTCTCCCGCCCTTCCGCTCACTGCCCTTCCGCTCACCCGGCTTCCTCTTATCGCCCTCCCAGCACCTCTTTCATGCACACACCTGCTAGCTTTCTCCTATCACCACGAGACAACGCCTGAGTCCACTCAAGCCCACTCTTCCTTTTCCCACTCTTGTGTATGTACTCATGCGCGCACGCATCTGTCTGTGTGCTGACCTTGAGACGCCCCTCGGTTTCCAACCACCTCAATCTATCCTGCTAGTCGAGTATTCTCCACCACCTTCTCATGCATCGGCTTTTCAGGCTCCTCAAAACAGCTCCACCGCCGTCTCATCTCATGCACGCATCTGAATTTGACGCTCATGCATCTGTCTGTGTGCCCATGCACCTGTCTGTTTGCTCATGCACCTGTCTGTGTGCCCATGCACGCTTGCATGGCCTCCCCGCTCATCAACACACATGCCAGTTTTGATACACCCATCTCATAACTCTTGTTCACGCCTACCACACCACTACCTACTCACCTACCACTGCTTCCTGATGCCTCGCCCTTTCCCTCCCTACAGCCCCTCTCCCCTTCTTACTGCAACCATTACCCCTCTTTTTGACCTTCCTCTCTCCTACCTCCTCCCTAACCCCTCCTCCCATTACCTGTTCTCCCCCGCTCCCCTCACTTTCCCTCCGCTCCCTTCCCCTCCCGTTTCCCACTTTCCCCTCCCCTACCCTCCCCTCCCCTCCCCTCCCTCCCCTCCTCTCCCTCCGCACCTCTCTCCTTTCATCCGTTTCAATTGCCTCCCCTTGGCGCGTCCCGCCTCTGCGCCACCAGCAGTGCACGCACACACGGCACACCGCTGCACTGCACTGCGGGGGGGGCACAGCATACTGACCAGCGAGGCACTGGACCGCTTCAGGCGCTGCTGCGATCAAGGCAACCCCAACGGTCAGCTGTTCCTGCTGCGCCCTTCCCCTCCCCGCACCCACCAGCAGCAGCACAATCACGGCAGGCAGCCCGCTGCAGTGCGAGGGGGGCATACTAGCCAGCGAGGCAGGGCACCTCTTGTGATTGAGTCAACCCCTCCCCGCCTTTCCTCCCCCCCCCCCCCCCACACCCCCCACGACCAGCAGCGCAGGAGCACAGGGCACAGGGCTGCAGTGCGAGGGGGGCATACTGGCCAGCGAGGCAGTGGACCTCTTTAGGCGCTTCTACGAGCAGGGCAACCCCAACGGTCAGTCACTCACCCCTCTCACCTCTCTGGGGTTGCTCCCACCCACCGCTTCCCCGCCCACTGCTTCCCCACCCACTGCTTCCCCGCCCACTGCTTCCCCACCCACTGCTTCCCCACCCACTGCTTCCCCACCCACTGCTTCCCCACCCACTGCTTCCCCACCCACTGCTTCCCCACCCACTGCTTCCCCACCCACTGCTTCCCCACCCACTGCTTCCCCACCCACTGCTTCCCCACCCACCGCTTCCCCACCCACTGCTTCCCCACCCACTGCTTCCCCACCCACTGCTTCCCCACCCACTGCTTCCCCACCCACCATTTCACCCACCGTTTCCCCACCCACCGCTTCCCCATCCACCAGTTTCCACTGGCCCTTAACACCGTTTTTCTTCCTCCAATTTCCTTCTATCCATAACCCAAGCTGTCCCGTTCCTCATGCACCATTCCTCTTCCTCTTCCTTCTCGTCCCTCTCCCGTCTCCCCTCTCCCCCCTCCACTTTCCCACCAGCACCGAGGCCCCATCGCCCCGTCAAGCCAGGGACACCTGGGAGCAAGTTCACAGCCTGATGGACTTACAGCATGCCACTTGCTGGGCTGCTCTGCTCTCCCCTGCTGCTACCGTGCGGTCTCTGGGAGAAGCAATATATTGAGCTCTCTTTTGCATGCTGCTGTCGACCTTGGTTGACCTGACCTTGGTTGACCTGACCTTGGTCGTACTGCTCGCAAGCATGCTTCGTTATACGGCATTGCTAGTACTTGTGATTGTTTCTGTTATATACCATGCTGTTTAGTGGGGGTGCCTGCCTGCCAACCTGGAAATCTCCACAGGATGTACCATAGTGTTCCCTATTCAGGTAACTTTTGAGGTCACTCAACAATCTGCCTGAAGCGCTTGACTGCTCGGCTTGCACAGCAGAGAGTGACGCGACTGGAATCTAGATTCAGAAGTCTGCTATGGTCCGTAGAAGCAGATACCAGTCGTTTCACAGTGAGCATAATGTAGCAAGATACATTTCCTAAGAGCTAACATCCCACCAGGGATAACTTATTCACAGGCCTAGCTAGCTGACATCCCACCTTGTAAACCAAACCCACATTCTCCCCGTCTCCCCAGAATAACTGACTCCATTTCATCTCTATCCAGCTTCTTCAGCTTCTACCCTCTTCCCCGCCCCACAATACTACCTGGCATTCCGTTTGGCATGCAGAGTCCAGGCTACTTGGCCTTCTTCTCGAGCTCCTTGGCCTTGGCGATCAGCGCCTTGGCCTTCTTCCTCAGCTTCTTTGCCTTCGCCTTCAGGGCCTTCTTCATCTTCTTCGCCTTCCTGCATTTCTTCCCCTTCTTTCCTGGCTTGCATTTCTTCCCCTTCTTGTTCTTTTTCAGGCTCCGCCTATACTCCTCCACCGCCAGCGCAGCGTCTTCCGCTTCCCCGGGGAGAGAAAGTCCTCCTCCGCCAGAACGCGAACGGCGCGCGCATGCGGCGACTCCCCGCCCTCCGCCGCGAGAGCGCGGCTCGTTATAAGCACATCCGCGTCCTCGCGCACGTCTCCCGTGAGCGCCTTGCCTGTGGCGAGCAGGCCGTCTTGCTCGGGGTTTGTGGCGAGAGTGGCGAGCGCGGGGTTGAATTCCGCCGTCGCGGCGGGTACGCGCGCCGCGACGAGCACACAGAGCATCAGAATTAAAACGCGAAGCGCAGCCATTGATAAGTAATATCTCTCGGGTTGGACTTGAGTAGTACCTGTAAGTGTTTGGATTGTGAAATTACAACTGATGAAATCGGAAGAATTGCGCGGGACTATATACTGCCGAGAGCTCTGCTGGGAGCTGGTTTGGGAAGGCTTCTGGAGGGATGACGTTGAGGCTGTTAGCGCGAGGCGGCATCTGGCGCAAAGGGGAGGAGATGTCGAAGCGCGCCACTATAAACCATCATTGGGGCGCCGTGAAAGACGGAGAACTCTGAAGCGAGCGAATTGGTTCCTGTGACACCATTTCGCATTTCTTGATGTCAAATGAGGAGTTTCGATTTCTCACGACAGCGATTCGGTACTGCGCTGATGAGGGTCGCCAAGGTACTATGAGTAGCCTGGTTACCATACGAAGTTCGTTGATCGTCCAATAATGCCAGGCAGGAGGGATCGTAATAAGGACGCTCTTGCACGGAATTCATCGCAATAATTCCGCAAAATGAGGTCGAGCGGTGGCACCGTGAGTTGCGGCGCTTCAATAGATGGAAACGGACGAGTGCGTACGCTTTACCAGCCTTCCCGGTCGCCCTCACTGACGTAACATATCAGCAAATCTGTTCGAGTTGTCAATATGATGCTTGTGGGTCAATTGTATCCTTGTCATTTAGCAATTCTAAATGTGGGACGAAATTTCATTGCGGAACTTTCCTGCAAATGGCGTGTTGTGCGGTTAGGCGTATTGCATTCTGTCAGATTCAGGGTACGTTACTGGCTCGTGTCAAACTTCCAGTCTTCCCGGGATGACACGAAGCTCGCCCCACAGCTCGCCCCACTTCGGGTCTTCCCGCAAAAATTCGCCCCTGGCTCGGAAAACACGAAGTTTGGCCGGAAGTTTGACACGAGCCAAGAACGTACCCCATTTTGCGTCCGATTTCAATGCAATTTGGCATGATCAAAACTCATAAGAAAAAAACGAGCTACTACTACATAATATATTAGTGGGTAATTACATGCCTAAGCATATTTAGCATGTGCTATGCAGCATCGCCAGAACTCATAACTACCGCACAATCAGCCGCACTACGTCCATGCTCAGCGCCCCTCCCTCTGCCAAACTGGGACCACCATCACTACACTCCCACCTGCCTTTTCTCACTCCCTTATCATCCCCACTCCATCTCACTCCCACACACTCCCTCACTCCTACTCCCTCATTCCCAACCGAGCCCTGCATCACTCCCACCCCTCCTCCACAACTCTTGTCGGTGGCAGCACAGACGAAGGGATGGCGAATCGCCTGCTGACAGTCTGGCGACATGATTGACTCTGCGCGTCCCGTAGCGGCATGCTGATGTGGCGCAGGATGCTTGTTGCGACGACATCTGGACGCACGTGCAGCGAGGTGACAGCGAGGATCTCTGCGTACGAGTTGGGGATGGCTGCAAGCATGTGCTGTGTAGTGGAGTGCGGTACCGTGGGGTC